GGTCCACTCAGTGTGGACATGCTAGTTCAAATTAGCAAAACGCTATTTCGAACTCATTTTTTAGTCTAGACGCGTTAGTTCGAATTAGCTTAGTTCGAATTAACTAATTCGAACTAAGTTAGTTCGAATTAGCGCTGTAGTGTAGACGTACCCCTAGAGTGGAGCACCCACGGGGACACTACTCGAAGAAGAAAAGTGAGTTACTCACCTCGTGCAGTAATGAGTGTTCTTTGAGATGTGTGTCCCCATGGGTGCTCCACGACCCTCTCTTCCTCCCCTCTGCTCGGAGTCTAAATTACTCGGGCGGAGATGAGGAATTGAAAGGGAAGGGGTTGAGCTGTGCGCTGCAGAAGGCGGGAAGGGCTTGAGACGCCTCCTGGGCATGCGGCTCAACAGGGGGAAACTGCTTTGCAAGGCTCCGGTCTGTGGCTGTTCACCTAGAATGGAGCACCCACGGGGACACACATCTCAAAGAACACTCGTTACTGCACAAGGTGAGTAACTCCCTTTCTTGCGCAAAAACTTGCAAAGTGTCTACACTGCACGCACGTTCTTGTGCAAGTAAATTTACAGTAGAGCATCAGAATGTCTCCCGGGACTCATCCGAGGCCAGCGATGGATCCTCTGGTGAGTGCTGCGCTTCTCACTTGCAAGGGCGGGGCAGCTGGGTACCCCGGGGGGAGGGGAAGGGAGCATCACTCAGGCAGTTCAAGCTGCATGCCATGCAGCAGTACACAGTACATGCAACCTCATGCAGCCTGACTGTGTGGCACGTGGCAGGGAGCTCTAGGGCATGCCTGGGACCCAGCTGCTCACACACGTTTTGCCCAGGAGGGAGGGGGGGATGCCACCTGCAAGCAGTCAAGCCCCCAAGGGGGCAGGCCAGACCCCACACCTCCCAAAGGGAGCCGCACACAAGACAGCATGCAGCCATGCCTGCCCGTGCGACACAGCAGCTGTTCCTGGTGAAAGTGCAGCAAGCCAGCTCTGTGAGCAAATCAGTTGACCTTGCCTGCCACACTTGCTCCCATGCAATATGCAGATGTGCACACAAACATGACTACAGCATCGATGGTGTGTGCTCACAGACAGTGACAAGAGTAGAAGCCATGTGCTCTACTTTGAGGAGGGAGCGTGCACAGTGCTACGCAGACAGACACTGCATGTCAAGTGGCTAGGACACAGACAAAGGGGTCTTAATTTACAGTGATGTCTCCTAAGGGTTACAATCCATGGAGGATCACTTCACTTCCAGGATTTTGAGCTAGTCCTTTATGCGAACATACACACAGGGGACCAATTGGGCCCAAGCCACAGTTGTGTGGTGTCATGTGGGGCTCAGAGCGCAGGGCACAGGGCTCAGGGACTCTGTGGGCAGGGCTGAGGGCCTCGTCGTTTTCTGTGTTCTCTGCAGCAGGACCACCTGGGCACGAGGGACACTCCAGCCCTGCAGCAACAGCACCAACCACCCAGGCGCCAGTCTGGCGGGTCAGGAAGCGTGACCAGGTCCTCCACCGTCACGTCCAGGCCGTGGAGAGTTTGGAGGCGGCGGTCACCAGCAAGCTTCAGGATAACCAGGCGATGCGGCAGCAGGCATGGAGGCAGTTCCTCCAGATGTGTGACACTATCTCCACCCTCATGTTGCACATCGGCCATGCCGTGCACTATGGCATGGCCTTGCCACATCCCCCTGCCCTCCCTGCCATGCCCATGCCTCCACCAGCCGCACCTCCTGCTGCCCCTTCTGATGCCATTGCCATGTCCACTCCTGCTGCACCCTGTCCTGCCCACCGCCCCGTGCTGCCTGCCCCAGCCCGGCCTGGAGGACGCTAAGGCCTCTGTACCTGCAGAGGCATTAGCAGGAGCCGCCCCTCCCAGCAATAGCTCCCGCTTCCAGTTGGGAGCCCCTTCCACCTCCCCCTCCCAGTTGAGAGCTGCCTCCCACTGCCCACCCTTCATCCCTATGTAAATAAATACAGTTTATTGTTTCTTTAACAAAAACGGTTGTGTTTATTGGAAGGTGAGGGAACGAGGGGAGGGAAGGGTTGGGAATGGGAGGGAGATGTGGATGCCACACAGAAGCGACCCTTGTGTGGGGCATGGGAGAACATCTCATTCAGGGCCTCCCGGATGCGCACCCCAACGTGGTGCACCTGCCAGATGGCGGCTATGCAGGGCTGCTCAAATACCAGGCCCTCACATTCCATCCACCCTGGGAGGAAGGCCTCTCTCTTCCACTCCATTATGTTGTGCAGCGCGCAACATGCTGTGACAACCTCTGTGATGTTCTGTTCGCCTATTTCGGGACAGATGAGCAGACAACGGAATCTCACCTTCAGCCGTCCGAAGGCGCACTCCACCTGGTTATGGGCTCAGTTGAGGTGTTGGTTGAATGTTTTTCCGGCTGGGGTCCATGCGTCTGGTGTACAGCTGCATCAGCCACGGCGTAAGGGGGTAGGCTGTATCCCCCACAATGCACAGTGGCATGCGTACATCCCCAACTATCAATTCCCGCTGGGGGAAGAAAGTGTCTGCCTTTATCCTGTGAAACAGCCTGGCATGTCGGAGGATACGGGCATCATGTATCCTGCCCACCCATCCCACATAGATGTCTGTGAAGCAGCCACAGTGGTCCACGAGGGCCTGGAGCACCATGGAGAAGTACCCTTCCCATTGATGAAATGGGCCACTCGATGCTCTGGTGTCTGGATGGGGATGTGGGTCCCATCAATGGCTCCACCGCAGTTGGGGAACCCCAGGGCAGTGAAGCCAGCCATAGTTTTGCCCACGTCCCGCAGGCAGATGACCCTCTTGAGCAGGATGTTCTTGATGGTGCGGACAACCTGCAGAAGGGCACACAGAAACACAGGAAATGCACCGAATGAGTCAGGGTGGGTGCATGAGCCCTTGTGGGGTGCCCACTCCCCTGTGATGCCCTCTATCCCCAAACACGCCAGGGCCCCATTGCCCCTCCTCTGCCCCACATACCAGCAGGCATATGTGAGAGTGGGATGGCACATGCCCCTTTGTGATGGGGCTTCTCCCGTGTCCTCCAGGCTGGAGTCTTCCCTTCCCCTGGGCAGGGACTGCAGTTCCCCCTCCCTCCCCCGAGGGCCTTACCTGCATCAAGATGGCACCCACTATGGACTTGCCCACTCCGAACTGGTGTGCCCTGAGTGGTAGCTGTCTGGGGTGGCCAGCTTCCACAGAGTGATGGCGACGGGATAGCGGGCCGCAACAGTGTTGTGTCTGAGGCGCGCTGGGGCGAGTTAGCCACACAGCTCCAGGAACGTCTGCTTCTGCATCCTGAAGTTGTGGAGCCACTGCTGGTCTTCCCATTGCTCCGGGACCAACTGGTCCCACCAGTTGGAACTGGTGTCGAGTCTCCAGTATCTCCTCTCCACGGTGGGGTAGGGATGCTACAACAAAGCCGCTGCATCCAGGGAGAAGGAGTCCAGAGTGAGCTCGACATCGAGCTCGTGCAGGAGTAGCAGGCACAGGGCCATCCCTGGCTCCATGGCACAGCAAGCAGAAGGCAAAAGTCCCCAAAAGCACCAGGGCACAAGCTGTGGTGTCCAATGAGGCAGAGAGCAACCACAATAGGCACTGCTACAGCTTTCAGTCCCTATCAGAGGTCCCAAATACGCAGTAGCAGAGAAACAGCTGTCCAGGGAGATCCCTTTAAGCACGTCTCAACGGGGCTCCATCCCCCACCCCTAGAAGGTTCTGGTGCCCTTTTGCCCTGTCTGATGTGGTTCCAGGAGGAGGTCTTTGCGCAAGAGTGTCCTGCCAGTGTGGACGCTCACTTGCGCAAAAGCGCTTTACTTTTGAGATGCGCTTTGAGCAGCTTTGTGCAAGAACTCTTGTGCAAAACACTTCTTGTGCAGGAAGCCTGCAGTGTAGACATAGCCCTTGCGTGGCTGCAGTGGATTTTTGTAGCTCTTCCTATTTTTCCTCAATGTTGTGCTTATTGCAAGGAACATATGGGTAATCAAGTATCTGGGATTAGAAAGCTGTGGGTGGTTCTCGCAGCTTTTGTGTCTGTCTTGGGGAAGATTTCTGTCAGCATTTAGTCTGTGTGATCAGTTTTGCTACTCACTGAAATTTGCCACCACAGCATTCATGATAAGAAATCAGTTTTTACCACAGAAATGTGAGTCAGTATGATGTAAGTGGCCTAAAGCTGCTGAACAGCAGTAGTAGATGTAGCCTTTGTAAGGATGTGGCAGGGAAATGTTTTGTTCCTCTGACCCCAAAAAGATACATACTCCTGCGGAAAGAGGTGTCTGGGTTATTAATATTTGTATTTAAACTTCTGTTTGCCGCTTCAGTTATTAAAGAGGAACCATGCACTGCAAATTTACCATCTATGGGCCAGGTATTCTGTGTATGGTAGGAAGAAAGAGAACACATTACAGTGGAACTGAACCAAAGACCATTATTTCAAGTTATGAAAAAAATGATCCTGTAAGGCTACATCTACATTGCACACATTCCTGCGCAAGTAAATTTACAGTAAAGCTTCGGAACAGAGAGCTTCTTGCATAAGAGTTATTCCTCTCCCCACAAGGAATAAGCCCTCTTGCACAAGCAGGTAGTATGAACGGGCAATGGGTTTCTTGTGCAAGAAACCCCTCTCTCTAAAATGGCCAGAGTTTTCTTGCACAAGAGAGCACCCACACTGCCATGGAAACTCTTGCACAAAAGCACATCTCTTGCACAAAGGCACATGGCAGTGTGGACGCGCTCTTGCGCAAGAATTTTTGCACGAGAACTCTTACGCAAAACAGTTCTTGCACAAGAAGCCTGCAGTGTAGATGTAGCCTAAGTTCATTACATGATTATACAGGAGAGTGTTATGGGGGAAAGCTGCTTCCTGCCCATAGCACTGAGAAACTCCTATTCTAGTTGCATGTTGGACAACTAGGATTAAAATGGTGCATTTCAGAGTGAAAAAAGTTTCTACTCATTCTGCTGCTAATTTCTGACTTTTTTGATAGGTCAAGGTGACTTTGATTTATCAGATGCATTCGATACAGGTAAGTAATATGTTTTTACAAACTTCTTTGTTAGATTTTTCTTTATATAATGTTTAGCATTAATGTGAAAACATAACTTAAACACTTCTGACATCCATTCTGAATGCATGTTAGCCTTTCCCCTGTGCATAGCTGTCAACTTCTCTGGCACAATTTCAGGTTTAAGGTCCTAGTCAATATTAGAGATGTCAACCTGTAGTCAACAGCACAATTAATTGATAAGCCTGAGCTTTTTGGTTAATCCTGTCACTGCACACACTTACTCCCCGCCAGTTGCCTCTGTATCCGAGGCAGCAAGTGAGGGGGGAGAGGTAGGAACAAATTCATTTGGAGAGCTGGCTTTTAAGTGGACTCTCAGTGCATGCTGGCTCCACGAAGCCCTCTTCTCCTTCCTTGGCACCTCCCACAGAGGCAGCAGTGCGTGGGGAGAGGGGAGGAAGCCGATGCTTGGGGGAAGAACCTTAAAAGCTGATTGTCCACGAACACCAGCTCCTGTGGAGCTGCCTCCCCTTCACACCTGCAGGCCCCTCCCCCGCACTGCTGCCTCTGGTAGAGAGGCAGCAGCACGAGGGGTGGGAGGACAGGCGGGAGCTGGTACATGCATGAAGTGGCTTTGAAGTCGGCTGCTTACACATATCAGCTCCCGCAGAGACACCTGCTAAAATGTACATTTTTTACACAAATACCTGAAGTTAACATCCCTGGGAAATAGACTGCTCCATGTGGTCCAGGTTCTGGCACATTCTCAGTCATGTTTGGTGGCAGTCTTTTGGTGTTTAAGGGAAAATCATACAACCGTAGAAGACTTGAAAAATTATTGGTTTAACACAGGGGTCAGCAACCTTTTTCACACCAACAAAATTCAGAACAAACCAAATTCAGATCAAATGGTCAACAAAGAACCAGTATAAGAATGCTCATTTGCATGACTGAAAATATACAACTTAATATTATTGACATTTGATATGGTGATTAATAATAGCATAAATATTATACTCACAGACTTTATTTAATGGGACTTCTGCTGCTGCATCTCTTCACACTGGTTAAATTCAGGTTCATGCATGCATTCAAGCTACATGAATAATTACAACTTTTAAAAATTTTGAATTTTCATTTTAATTTAAAAAGTTGCATGTAGTTTGGGAATGATGAAAGAGCTATATTTGGTTCCATGCTCAGCCATATTTGGCTCGAGGGCTATAGGTTGCAGACCCCTGATCTAATACTTTCACTTTCACTTATATTTCAAAAACGAAATCTGTTTAAACTAGTTCTTTAAAGTATCTTTGTGCAATGTATTCATCACAAATGTTTCAATTTTTATTAACTTCAATCTCTTTAATATAACAGAACCTACAAACAGACCAGATTCAGTTACTAAAAATGCAGATTCAGGTGAGTACTGATAAAGTGTATCTTACTGTAAATGCTTTACTGTGGGGGTTGTTTTTTTAAATGTGCAGTTATTGACAAAAACTCATGGTTACACATTGCTGCAATTTATCTGAGAAATTATCCCTAAATATCTGTTTTCCAAAAAAAAAAAAAAAAAAAAGTGCACATCTCAGGTCTCTTGGTGGAGGATCAAATAATGGAACCAAGCAATCTTTAATAAATAATAATTACAATAATAATTAATAATAATGACATTTGTAGGCAAAACTCAGATATTATATGGCAGATGTTTTAGAGATGTCATACCTATCTCTT